ACTTGGCTTTCCAGAAGTATCAACTTTGCTCTGAATGCCTTGATAAGTGTAAATAAATCACAGACCAAGTTATTTTCACCCTGCAACTTTAAATTCAAATGATTCACATGGTTCACCATATCAGCAAAAATGCTAAATTCCAAAGCCCCTCGGTATCTGATAAAAGTGGTTCGTGATGGGTTTTCTCGGTAAGAAATATATCAATTTCATTCCTGAGCTGAAAGAAGCGCGAAAGAACCATTCCACAACTAAGCCATCGAACTGCAGTATAATATGTCAGGCCAATAAGTTCGGAATCACATTTACCTGTACTCATTGGAAAATTAGTTGAATTGGGTCATTTCTGCACAACTCTTTCGCGGACCGGATAAAATCACATCGCGGGCCGCATGTGGCCCGCGGGCCGTAGTTTGGAGACCCTAGGTCTAGATGAATGCCTAAGTACACGTATTTTGTGCTGGGTGATTCAGGTATTTGTATGTTATTAAAGAAAACTGCAGGACATTGTTCTCTTCTTAGACTGAAGTTTACTTGCACTGACTTGGTTTCGTTAATTTTTATTTTCCATGTATTTGTCCTCTCTTGTATTTGATTTAGATGATTTTGCAAAGCGAAGGTAGCTATTGCTGGATCTGTGTTGGCTGAGAGGATCACGGTATCATCCGCAAATGTGCCCATTGTTGTGTTGGCATTGACTGGTAGGTCTGCTGTATACAGTAAATAAAGTAGTGGGCCTAAGACACTGCCTTGTGGTACACCTGATTTTATTGCAAAATTGTTAGATATACTATCATTGATTCTCGTTCTGAACTCTCTGCCATTTATATAGGATTTTAGTAAGTGGAAATAAGTGATGGGCAGATATTTTTTGATTTTGTACAGTAGTAACAAAGAAATAAAACTGGACTTTGCATGTGATATCTTAAATCTCTCATAAGAAGTACCCGTTTCGGCACTCCTCACTCCTACGAGCCGTGTAGCTCAGCTATGGGCTGGAACGCTGGTTTTCGGTACTTGGCGGGGGCACTGCCTCTGTCACTACGGCTATACAGGACCTCAAGTTCAGTTAGCCTCATATAAATTGGTATCGTGCGTTATTTTCCTTGGGGAAGTGGGGAGTAAATTGACCGGAAGGCGAACCTTGTCACTTCTATTCATTCAGTTCCGAGGTTGAAATTTTGTGTGGAGCTTTACCTCCACACTCCCATTCTTTTTAGTGGCGTGAAGTTTAAACATGGAAAGAAGTTTGCCTTATAAGCCTTATCTGAGCTTCAGTAAACGTTGAAAAATCATATCTGTTCAAAACTTTATTAGTGTACATAAATTTCCTGTTATTACGTAATTACGTTTTTAGGTAATTGTTAATATTTTTGGAAACTAAGTGGCAGGCGTTATACGAATGTCCTCCTATCCAACCTCACCCATTCATTGAACTGTTTCACTGAAGGCACGAACGAGGACTGTAGATTGCACGCTGAGAATTGAAATTGCCTCTGTAACGGAGCTGCATAACTTTCAGTGTAGGAGTGGTTCAGACTGGACATCACAAGTAGAGCACAGGGGACAAAGAGAAACTATCAAAGCGAAGTTCAGGAAACACAAGCATGAATTAAGAGCATCCAGAATTCAGTGGAAAATTTTGTTATGTTTCCTTTAAATAAAAACGAAATTTGCTTATGAACAAAATTCCTCTACCTTATTCAGTCTTAAGACAAAGATTTGAAGGGTCCGGGATAGCGCAGTCGGTATAGCGACTGGTTTCGGGCTGGTCGGATTTCGAATCCGGTAGGGTCAAGAATTTTCACTTCTCCATGTCTGGGGTCCACCCAGCCTCCTCTACAAAGGGTACCGGGGGCTCTTTCCCTGGGATAAAGCGGCCGGTGCGTGAAGTTAACAACTCACTTCCACTTATTCCCGAGGTCAAGAAAATGTGGATCTATACATCCACTCCTCTATACGCTTTCATGGCGTAGTGCTTAGTTAGTTAAGCACAGGGACAACTTTACCTGTAAGACAAAGCATTGGTGATGATACAGTCGTGTAGCCGCAGGCGTCGCTGAATGTGCACACTGGAGCTCATCATTTGAATCTCCTTCGAAACAGATGTTCACTTACACTTCTGTGTGAGTAAATGATCTGCTATGGGCTGATATGGAGTAGATAAATATTTTATGCTGAATCAAAACTGACCAGATTACCTAACCGCGAGAGCTGAAGAGGCGTTCTCTTGTTCAATGTTCACTATAATGACCACTTCAACTAAGTAAGATCTAAAAGTTTGTTACGATAATACATTAATAAAATTATCGTGTTTTTGGACATTATCCATCGTCCTGTTTTTCACTTAAAACAACGTAAGTAAGATCTAAAAGTTTGTTACGATAATACATTAATAAAATTATCGTGTTTTTGGACATTATCCATCGTCCTGTTTTTCACTTAAAACAACGTGTCGGAAACTCGATTCTCTCTCCGTCCTCAGGTAAAATCCCACTCAGTTGGGCCCAGTCAATAGAGCGTGCTGATGCTGGTGTCCAGAGATATGCACCAGCTCTATCGATAGGGCCCAAGTGAGTAGGTTTTTACCTGAGGACGGAGACAGAATCGAGTTTCCGAAACGTTGTTTTAAGTGAAAAACAGGACGATGGATAATTTCCAAAAACACAACAAATATACCACTTCTTTTAATTAAAACTCATACAAATCTATCTAAAAATAAATTGACTCTTCCATTACACTTTTTAATTGCATTTTCCTTTGCTCTTTACACCACTTCGTCCTACGAAGATAAATTATTACTTACGTGTTAGAGTTATTGTAGCTCTTTTGATGTTGAATGAATACACTCACATTAACCTACATTTTTCTAAAAGCCTCAGTGCCTTCACAGCGCAAACTGACTCCTCTCATGCCGTCAGTTCCCATATAAAAAGAAATAAAAGGAGCAAAAAGCAATCAATAACCACAGCAGACTCGGAAAGAATGTAGAAGATAAATGAAAGATAAATTTCATTCACCCCTGATGCTAGGTTACAATTATTCTTGATCTCAGCAGTGCAAGGAATTCAGTCGTTACCTTCTCATTACCTTCATTGAGAAAGTTTTGGCACATTACCACTTGTAATTTGTATGCCATAGAAACCTCTATCAAATTTCCAGCATTTGCATTCATTTATAGCATTAAGAAGGTCAAGTGAGTGACAGTATATAAGCATGCCCTGTTTCTGTCTTACCGACTGAATGTTTCCTGAACTGTGGTATGAGCAGTCTCATAGGCTTGTGCTATAGCAATGAACGTGTCGGTAAGTACAGTACAAGCCTTTCATTTGATCTGTTGACGCTTTTCGAGAGTAGACCTAAGTGGAAACTGGTAATTTGATAAGGTACTTTCAGTACAAAAGTTGTGGAATGGATAGTAGACGAAAGAGCGTATAAGTTTTACTCACGTGAGCAGCCGTTGCATGTGCCTGACAAATCTTGTAATCGTCCAACCGTAACACCATGTGCAGAATTTGAGTTTATCACAGCGATGCTCATGAAGAGTTGTATCTTCTGGAGTACAACGCCGTGGTGTCCGTTGAATGTCAACGGTTTTCCCTCTGTTTGGCTTATAATTCAACCCTGAAGATGGATGAGACATGTTCCTCCGAAAAGTTGGTTGACTTTCAACGGACTAGACGTCACTACATCACAGAAGATAGAATTCTTCGCAACATTAATGGATCTATAATTTTATTCAACTCGACATGTTTGTGTCGCAGGAGCTTTGTGAAGACCGTACGTTACCCAGCTGCATAATTCTTGTAGGTTTCATGTCAGGAAAGAAGTGTTGTTGTAAAATGCCTGCTAGTTGCTTCCTTGTTTTTTTTAATATTCATCTACATTGAAAGTGGAATCAGTAGGTTCCTCTGAAACGTCAGTGAAGTTAAAGCGAATATCCTGGAAGACACCACCCTTTATATTGAAATACGAGTATAAGGAAACCTCATACCTTAGAACTATGTTACATACAGACGTGTAGTCTGTATAGCGACTGGCTACGGGCTGGACGTGAGGAGCCGGGATAGCGCAGTCGGTATAGCGACTGGCTACGGGCTGGACGTGAGGAGCCGGGATAGCGCAGTCAGTATAGCGACTGGCTACTGGCTGGACGTGAGGAGCCGGGATAGCGCAGTCAGTATAGCGACTGGCTACTAGCTGGACGATCTAGGGGTCAGAGTTTGAGTACCGGTAGGGTCAAGAATTTTCTTTTCTCAACATCTTCCAGGCGGGCTGTGGGGCCCACCCAGCCTCCTATCCAATGGGTACTTGGGGCTCTTTCCCCGAGGCTAAAGCGGCCGGGGTGTGAAACTGACCACTCACCTCCAACTCGTGTCGAGGTCAAGAAAACGATAATCTATATATCCACTCCGCCGATCACAGTGGGCGCTCGGTCTAAAGCATGAACTGCGTTTGCCCGCTCAAACACTGGGTCGTGGGTTCGAATCCCGCTTGAGATATGGATTGCTGTTTGCGTTTATTTTGTGTTTGTGCTGTGCTTTGTGTAGCGAGCGGCCTTGCGGCGGGCTGATCCTCCATCCAAGGCGTCATACCGACTATGTAAAAGATCAGGAAACTGAAAAAGCGGCCAAGGTTCAACAAATGGCTGCAGAACCATAGATAGACACATGCACTCTCCGTACGTCTTCATGGTGTAGTGATTAATTAGTTTAGCACAGGGACAACTTTACCGTATATACTGGTACTAGTTACAGTGTAGTAGTGCGGTTTCACAGCTTGCTCGTTTAAATATAATAAGTGATCGAATTCTTAGCTACAATCAATAAAATTTAAAGGGGAATTAGGAAGATGAATTTTTAGTAGAACGAGAGAGAGAGAGAGAAATGTGTACAACATTCATGACACTGATTTCGAATCCAGTTTTCCAGCTGCGACTAGCGGTTTCAGTAAAAAGTCAATTTAACTGTAGGCATATCTAAGTAGAAAGTCGTACAGTGTACATACAATACAACGAAGACTGCATTGGACAAACAGTGTTATTAATATAATTATTTTTTCTCTGAGTTAAAATGATTGTCTGCTACTCACATGCAAAGGTGAGTTCAGGAAAATAGCTCACCAACTTAATTTAACAAGGTAGCTAACCATGAAATGGCTAAACAAGCTTGAGAGAAAATTCAATTAGAAAAGGAAGTCTGAAAATTTAAAATGTAGCAGCGTATAGTCGGTTGTCGTTCATGTAACGACACTGTGTGAACGGGGGGCTGGAAGTGAGAGTAGTTATTTGAATGCAATGGGAGAACAGTTTTAACCTGTCTTCTAGACACTGAGCTGTAAAGACAGATGGAGGCTTCAGTTAGTAGAGCTTTTCTTGATGTGGGAATCGTTCTGTTTATAAACTGGAAATTCTGTGCATTACATAGAGAACTGCATTTTTCCTGTGGCGCTACAGCCCCAATTTGAGCCTAGGCCTACCTCCATGAAACTCTCCGTTTACCTTCGGTTTACTAGATCTTAAACACTCGGTAGGACTCCTTGGGCGGGTGATCAGCTCGTCGCAAGGCCTCTACATGTACACAAACACAGAAAAACGCACATACACAAACACTAAACATCCATGCCCTGAGTAGGATTCGAACCCACGATCCCGGCTTCCGAGCGAGCGAAGACAGTGCATGACTTAGACCGCTCGGCTACCGTGACCGGCAGAAAACTGCATTAGCGTTTCGAAATGTTGGCAGACATTTTCATATATGCGATTATATTCATACATAACCAGCATTCACAAATATAGGCACATACACTCACACATACATGTATTACGTAGTCAACACGTGCGGTCTGCATGAGGGCGACGGGAGGTCCATACAGATTTTGGGGCGAAGACCGGATGAGAGACATCAATTTGAAAACCTCCGTATAGATGGAAGGGGGCAAGCCGTACCGTAGCTGGTTGATGCAATATGCTACAGGCCGGAACGCCGCGGGTTCGATTCCCGATGAGGTCATTGAATTTTTCTGTTGACATAATCCTTCCAACCCTGGAGTCGACTCATACTCTAAGAGAAATGATTAGTAGGAAGCTTCCTGGGGGTAAAGGACTTCCGGGGTGTAATGGTGACCAACTCACCGCCATCTGTCAGCCGATTGTCTAGGAAATGCGGGAGCCTCGACGTCTCACAGCCCTATGGGCCTCCACAGCCTGTTACAGGGATAGCGTTACCTTTTTTATGCATACACGGGAGAATAATGATAACATTGATTTGAGTTGTTAGGACGTTAGGGATTGGGCTGATTTAGTAGGCTCGGGATAGGCTGCAGGGCCACGATTTTTTGACAGGATAATGAAGAGGCAGGGAATTTCGTGACCAGCTGGACGATTAGCAGCTTCTCAAGAAAGACGTTGCTGCATGAAGTTAGTTCCAGGAGCCTATATGACACACACATGCATTTCTCAATAGCGGGCATTTGGCGTGTAGTGCAGAGGTGTGTTACCGAGTTTTGGTGAAGACATCAGTTTATTCTTTCTGTCGCAGCTGGTGTGGCGCTCCGTGATGGCCCTCGTGGCTTTGGTGGCGCTCTGCTGCTGTCACCTGCACAATACAGACAAGTAAGACTGCCACTTTTCTCATTCTACAAGATTTGAGGGCTTTGCAAACTCGCAGAACTAACGAAGGTGCATACTTCCGCCTCTCTCTACAATACGCTAAGTGGTTGCTTGTGCCTTTGTATAAATACAACATATTGCATTATACACTGACAAGTTTCACTGGCTGAACCAGCGATGTTCATCATCATCATCATCATCATCATGAATCGCCCCTTCCCCGTCTTCTCTCAAATTACTTATTATTTAGAGCCGTGAAGCGGGAGCAGCAGCCCGTCGTCGCTGGCTCTACTGCTGTGTTTACAAGCTCCCCAAGATATTCGTCGGGTATCCAAGCTTTCAGATAACAATAACAAAGTTTAATAACAAAATAACAGAATTACACAAAAAATACAAACAATACATAATCATGGCAGAACAGGGGTACAACATCCCAAACTCATGAGTGTAGAGCAATCACTCGTCGCCAACAGTCGCAACCAAGAATAAACTAACTAGCCCCACTTTCACTAACTACGTTTAGGCGTTAAACAGTTTGCCCCAGAGGAACACAAATTATAATAATAATAATAATAATAATAATAATAATAATAATAATAATAATAATAATAATAATAATAAAAAAAATGAGTAAATAAATATGCGCATCGCAACCGCGCTCAATCATCATAATAGTCATCATCAGAACTCTTTAAACTGTTTTGGTTAAAGTGTTTTGAAAATTCCCCTCCGTATTTTTGTCGACCTTTTCTTAGCATCTTCTAAATTTCACTTCTTTTGGCTTGTTTTGAACTTCATCCATCGACTGGTACGTAAAATATGAATGACCACAACGTTTCGGAGATTGGATCTGTCTCCGTCCTCAGGTGGGTAGGGCAGGATAAACCTACTCAGTTGGGCCGGTTAGAAAGAGCTAGTCTCAGTCACTGGACCAATTCTAAATTTCAGTTCATTTCGACAGGGTAGTTTAGGATTAGGTTTTCAGGTCTTAACTCCAGACGTTCTAGCAGTTTCTTTTGTTACTCTGTCTAGTAATAAGATATACAAAAGTTATAAGCGTATAAGGTATGCAGTCTACACAACAATGTTCTGTATTTAAAAACAAAGAAGACAATACTGTAATAATATCTGCTTTATTATGTTTTTACAGACGTAACATGTTTCGACCCTTATACCGGGTCATCATCAGGCGTACAATGCTCCAGTATGAGCTGACAAATTGCAATTATCATCTGATTCTTCAAATAAGGATCCAGATTGTGTATTAAAATTATTGAAATGTGTAAATACATGTATTAAGTTTTGGTCAAATTTTCAAAACCGAAAATCCTTAGATAATAACATTTAAAATTAAAGATAAAGCTTAAAATTAGAAACTAAAGATTAAGACATGAAAGTTAAAATTCTGTTTTTGTGGTAGGCCTCTGCAACCGCTACGTGTTGGCCTTATTCTAGAAGCGACTCTAGCGTGGGGCGTCGGCGTATCGGAATGTTTTCACATGTGACAGGTCGTGCAGTCATGTCTTAGTAATGTCTTATGGAGCTATGCTCATTGTGATGTATGTTAGGTTATCCTTATGAGCGGTGTGTACGGGCTGCTCCCTGCGTTGGTGCTGTCGCTATGTTGTGGCTGTCGCTATGTTGTGGCTGCAGAACACTGCTGTGTGCACGGCATACCTTATATACTTTTGTACATCTTGTTTATAACACACAACAGGATGCACACGATTAACATTGTCTAATGTTACGTTGATATTTGCTATTGCCAGCTGCATATCGCTAATCAACCTTAGGTTTACGGTACCAGGAATGACAAAGCTAATGCTATTCTTTACTCATGTTTCGACTTAATTTATGCTAGTAGGCTGTCTCTAGCAAATTAACATTTGGTGATTGGTTAGTCTCGTTTAACTTCCAGCCAATGATCATATAATTATTTTCCAGAAACCAAGTAACAGTTAGTCCCAAAAAATAATGATGGACTATGGGCCATATGCACCCCAGTAGCCGAAGTAAATTTTCATGGAGAAAAATATAGTGCAATACACGCATTAATTCTATGGACTGTGTTTGTTTTACATATGCTTGTTCTGTAGCAAACCACGTGACGATTTCGTGCTGAGCAATATTTTTGTGGATTTGATTATTTCAGTGTGATCAACATACCTGTGGGCGATCCACATGGGCCGCATGGCGTATGGAGGACACGTACTGTGTGGAAGGCAAGATGGCTCAAGGAATGGAGACAAGAGAAAGTATGGAAGCCCTTGTGGAAGAAAGTGTGGGGGCCAGTGGAAATAAAAGAGTGGGTTCCAATTCCGAAACCTCCCCCTGGGTGGGAGTCCGAACATGAGTGACACGAGATAAATGAAAATACAGAATGTTTATGAGTGCGTGTTCATACTCCTATCGGAGCAAAACTCACCCAACCAGAAGAAAATGTTTTTAAACTTATCTCGTCATGTTTCTAATCAAGTGACTTTAAATGCGACTCACCCGGCAGACGGTCGTGGTACCATACCAAGAAGGGAAGAAGTGAGATCGGGGTAAAGCTTCAAGTGTTCCAGGTCCAGACGCCCCAAACTGGGCTCATTATATTCACGCCGTAAGAATTTATGCAGGCCGCATGATCCCATTGGATCACCACCAACAAAATGAGAACCCAAGGAAAGAGGGCGAGGCTAACAGTGACAGAAGATGGGAAGAGAGGGAGTACCTATGTTCATTATTTCGGTGACTTGAGTGCAGTCAGCTCTGTCCCGTTGGACACAAGGTTGTGTGGTTCTCAGATACAGCTTCCGTCGCGAACTGGATCTTGGCCATCCAGTTCTTAGCCATTCGTTTTGTTGACTGAAATATCTCCGTTCTCTATCTTCTGTGGCAAAGAGGCCCCATGTGTGAGCAGGCTACACTTTCTTGTAGTGCTGAGACCTGGAATGCGTTAAGCTTTACTTCCACTCCACCTATACGCTTTTATAGCATCATGCATGAGCACAGAGTCAGGGTTGCTTTTCCTTTGTCACCCTTTAAGTCTGTAGTTGAATTAGAGGACAGAGTTAAGCTGCAATATAGCTATTAGGGCTCCACTGTGTTAGAGACACCGCTTATGTAGCCGGAACACGATGGACGCCGAGTTGGAAGAGACCCCTTGTACTCGTAGCAGCTTAATTTTCCGCTACGTCCGTGGATGTAGAGCTCACCTGCGCAATGTTTATCCTTACCTCCTTCCTCTCCGTGGGTGCTGGGAAGGCTGAAGAATTTGTATGGGCCCCAGTAGTCACCTGGCGGTGCTCGCTACAAATTTTTAGGATGCCTGCTGATAAGGACATGTAGCGGGATGACTAGCTGAGACTTGAGTCTCTGGTAGAACAGGAGACCAGTCCCTGGGTCCTAACGGACCTTACTGTAGTAAGGCAGGAAGAACACTGATGCTATACACAAGTGCACACAAGACCACAGTTGACGCTTAAATATTATTTATTAAAGACTGAATTGGCACGTGTACTGATTAGTCTGCTAATAATCCTTTTATATATTGTAGTTACTTTTTAATTATTTGTCAGTAGCACCCCACTCTGTTAAGTTAAGTAAATCGTACTGATCAAAGAATGCTGAAGTTTCTATAATTTAGAATTTAGTCAGACCGACGCATATTCGCGTCCGTACGAGCCAAAAGTTAAAACAAGAGTCCCCTTGGAGAAGTCCTCTCTGAAGCAGTGAGCTTCTCAAAGTCTCCGCTTCCAATAAAAGTTACATGCCTTTGAATTTGGTAAGCGAGTTTAGTCCTCAGAACACAAAGGGCACATTTGACATTTACCTGATGTATAATAAGCTTAGCGTGGGTATCGGGCCAACCTTCTTTTGGTTTACTGCTTGCGTCAGCTGTCAAATATCAAGTTGTCACTACAACAATTTGATTCTAGGAAAAACTGGAGGTGACTCCTTCGCGTTCTGAATACAAGAACGTCACTATCCCCTTAATCCAAAGTTACGACGTATAGCTTGCAATTTAGTACTCTTAATCACCTTTCATTATACTGCGACTGATTTTTTTTCGCCCTTGGCACTACAGCCCCAGTGGGCCTAGGCCTACCTCCATGAACTCTCCGTTCACTTCGGTTTTTCTCGAGCTTACACATTCGGTAGGACTCCTTGGGCGGGTGATCAGCTCGTCACAAGGCCTCTACCTGTACACAAACACAGAAAAACGCACACACACAAACTAAACATCCACGATCCCGGTTTCTAAGCGAGCGAAGACAGTACATGCCTTAGACCGCTCGGCTACCGTGACCGGCCATAATGAACGCTTACAATAGATAAATAAGCATCTGTAGTTCAGATCGAAATAACTCATTTCCTACGGAACTCTATTAAAGGTTGTGGTTATGTACTAATTTGAACTCCAGTTCAGAGTTACTGTATTTGGGAACGACATTGACAGTAAAGACTACATCCACGTACTTCCAGATTACAGGCTATACGGTTACAGAGTTTCGTGCTGTTTACCGTCCGCCTAAAGCGAATGCCAGCGCAGCTTACACTTCCAAACCGGCTACAGTTCTCTCTTTCCTTGTCTTCAGCTGCTCGTCTCTGATTAACTTCTCAGGTCATCCACTGAGGAGCAGAAATGGCTTATCAGAATTAGATAGTCGCTCCACAGCAGTAAAAAAGCCTGGAGAAATGACCAATAGAAATGAAAAATTAACTATTATAATAGAAGCTCATAAATTCTTCGCTCCATATGTGGCTGTTATGACGCCTCGAGGCTCTGGAAGTACTAGATTCCGCAGACTGCAACCACTCGCGTCTTCACCCAACGTTGCGTCTCCATGCAGCTCAAACAACTTGGTTAAATAGCCGACGACTTAGGAATGCTAGTGACTTTCACAAGGGGCCACGCGGTAACGTAGTTAGTTGAGGCACTATGCTACAAGCCGGAAGTTCACGGGTTCGAGTCCAGATGAGGTGCAGTTTTTCAATTAGCCTAATCCTTCCAGCCGCACTGTGACCCTGGGGTCGACTCAACCTGTAGCAGAAATGAGTACCAGGAGTCTTCCGGGGGGGGGGGAGGCTAAAGGGCGGCCGGCGCATAAGGCTGAGAACCTGACCGCTATCTGTGAGCCGATGGTCTGGAGAAAATGTGGAAGCCTCGACCTCTCAGATAGCTTTATCGTTTTACCTTTAGTTACTTTTCCACACTTCTTTCCCGCTTTCCCTAATCTCATTTACACTTCACGAGTCGTATGAAAACCACAGAGAAGTGGAGAGTATTTTCTAATGTCAATACCGCCAAGCCGAAGTTTACAAATTAGTTCTATTGTTCTCCGTGCGAGGATGAAATAAACACAAACTAAATTCTTCAACCCCGAAGAAGTAGGAAGGAGGTTCATCCGGAAACCTGATTACGACTCACCTATCAGACTGTACGGTGCTGTAACCCAGAAGGCCGCAATCTACAGATAGCATACATCATCCATTTTGGAAGCAGGACTAAAGAATTAAGGCTGACTCCAAATTTATTGTCAGGCTATGTAGAAGAGCACTCTCACGAGGCCTGGTGTTTTACTCCTCAGTCATTCCAAAAGACAGAATTTTATGTTCATTTGCATGAGAGTTTTATCCCCCTTCCATATACAGATGTTCTTTGTGTGCTTCAGCTGCTCTGCATATATGGAAAAAATAACCGTTCAAAAAGTTGTAAATTAAATGAAAGCGCACTGTCTTGTTACCGCCCGTTGGTTCTCATATTGCCTTGTCATGCATACTGAACGCACTCGAATCAGAGTGCTGCTGTTGTCCCGCGTCATCTATTGGGAAAAAAGTAAAGAGCGGTAAAGAGTGCGTGGTGGTTAGCGATAGGGTTGGCACAAAGGGAGAATTACTCTAATCAGAAAAATCAGGTCTTGTAAGAAATGCCTAAGTACCACAAGGTATTCGTGTGCAGTGTATGTGATTGATTTTACTTATATTCAATAATAAACACAGTAACATTTCGACTCCCTTTATTTTAAGTGTATCAGAAGGAACGTGTGCTGATAAAATATCTCGTTTCCTTATATGTACCTGCCATCTTTTGTCAGTTTCTGTTACTACGATTCGCATAGGTCGTGTCGACAGGAAAGAAAAAATCTGATGTATTCCGCTTAAGAGAATGGCACGAAGGCCGGTCGTGATATATTGTGTTTAGTTCGAATACTTTGGAAGTGTGATATATGTACAACGAACGTACAGACAGGCTGGACAGGATAAAACTACCTTAACGAATTCCTCGGTTATTGAAGAAGCTTGAGCAACTGGTGAGTATAGACGTACTCCTAAAAACTTTTCTTTGCAACCTGAGGAAAAATCCTGTGTGTTTCTCCATGTTCCTCTATATGTTAAACTAACTTCCTTATTTTACAAATAAGTCCAGTGTGACATATAATGCCTTCACCACTTCAGCACTTAGTTACCTAACATGTTTCGATTCTTAATGACTCATCATCGGAGGTATACCACTACGATCAGGAACCCACCAATACGTAAATGTTTTCATAAGACTATATACACTTAAAACATTTATGATGCTCACTATATGTTTTGTTTGTTTGTTTCTTGGCACTACAGCCCCAGTGGGCCTAGGCCTACCTCCATGAACTTCTCCGTTCACTTCGGTTTTTCTAGATCTTAGACATAAGGTAGGACTCCTTGGGCGGGTGATCAGCTCGTCGCAAGGCCTCTACCACTCACTTAGTTGTTAATTTTCCACTGTCGGCATAGATGTTTGACGTAAACTTTTATAATAAGAACATTCTTATGCAACACTGAAAAACGTAAGTAGTTAAATGGGTAAAGTAACTCTGCCCCTGTGTTCGTCTCTGGGTATCTTACAATAATAAAGGAACCAATACTTAATTATTTACTTCATGTATTTGTCTCACCTTTTTTACTGCTCAGACATGTGTTTTTTTTTCTTGGCACTGTAGCCCCAATGGGCCTAGGCCTACCTCCATGAACTTCTCCGTTCACTTCGGTGTTTCTAAATCTTACACATTTAGTAGGACTCCTTGGGCGGGTGATCAGCTCGTCGGAAGGCGTCTACCTGTACACAAATACAGAAGAACGCACACACACAAACTAAACATCCATGCCCTGAGTGGGATTCGAACCCACGATCCCGGTTTGCAAGCGAGCGAAGACAGTACATGCCTTAGACCGCTAGGCTACCGTGACTGGCCAGACATGTATTACTGATATTAAAATATTTATATAATGCTTTACTCTTTCGAAAATCATCGGTCCTTATTTCCCACACAGCGGTTGAGTGCCTGTCTTCCAGAAGTGTCATTTATTCTGTCGCTTGTGGCACTGAGGAAGTAGCGAGCCATATCAGAAGTTAAACTGACTATAATTAATAAGTCATAACAATCTCTCTTAAATTCGTTCTTGTGGCCGCTCCATAACTCAAGCGGTTAGTCGCTGGCTTCCCACACCGGCGGCCCGGGTTCGATCCCGGGTCTGGTCAAGTGGGATTTGTGGAGGACAAAGTGGCGTTGGGGCAGGTTTTCTCCGAGTACTTAGGTTTCCCCTGCCAATCTTCATTCCACCAATTGCTCCACAATCACCCTCACCTATCATCCGGGACTGGTACAATAGACAGTTAGTGGCCGCAGTACAAGGGACTTAGTCCCACCTCACTA